CTCGACCGCAACGTCACCGTTGACACTCTCATGAAGAGCACCCTCGAGGAGATCCGCGCGGCCAACAAGGCCGGTGCCAATCCTCCCTACGCCGCTCACTTTGTCGTCTACGATCTCCCCGACCGTGACTGCGCTGCTGCCGCCTCCAACGGCGAGTTCTCCATCGCCAACGGCGGCGTTGCCAACTACAAGACCTACATCAACGCCATCCGCAAGCTCCTGATCGAGTACTCGGACATCCGCACCATCCTCGTCATCGAGCCCGACTCGCTTGCCAACCTCGTCACCAACACCAACGTTGCCAAGTGTGCCAACGCCGCCTCTGCCTACAAGGAGTGCACCAACTACGCCATCACCCAGCTCGACCTTCCCCACGTCGCCCAGTACCTCGATGCTGGTCACGGTGGCTGGCTCGGCTGGCCCGCTAACATCCAGCCTGCTGCCACTCTCTTTGCCGACATCTACAAGGCCGCCGGCAAGCCCAAGTCCGTCCGCGGTCTCGTCACCAACGTCTCCAACTACAACGGCTGGTCGCTCTCCTCCGCTCCTTCGTACACCACGCCCAACCCCAACTACGATGAGAAGAAGTACATCGAGGCTTTCTCCCCTCTTCTCAACGCTGCCGGCTTCCCGGCCCAGTTCATCGTTGACACGGGCCGTTCCGGCAAGCAGCCGACTGGCCAGATCGAGCAGGGTGACTGGTGTAACGCCATCGGCACTGGCTTCGGTGTCCGCCCTACCACCAACACTGGCTCCTCGTTGGCTGATGCCTTCGTCTGGGTTAAGCCCGGTGGTGAGTCCGATGGTACCAGCGACACCTCCGCTACCCGCTATGACTACCACTGCGGTCTCTCGGATGCCCTCAAGCCTGCCCCTGAGGCTGGCCAGTGGTTCCAGGCTTACTTTGAGCAGCTGCTCAAGAACGCTAACCCCGCTTTCTAAGTGCATTGTCTTTGACAATAGTGGGCTTTTTGGGATTTGGTGAATGAGAAAATGAAGAGGGTGAAAGAGGAAGTAACGTGCAAAGGAGTCACAAAGGATGACTGCTTCTTCCCAAATTCTTGTACATAGATTAAGAAGCGTTTTTTGTTCGCCTGCTAGGGTGGTGAACTGCACATATATTTTCAGACTGTCAATACAACGATCTGGTATACTTGCCTCTACTGTCTTTTTGACCTTGATGTTGATTGTGCTAGTCGTGCCAGGCCCTTAGAGGCAGCTTCTGCTCTGAGAATAAATACCTTGCCTTTCCCCCCTTCAGTTCCGTCCCCGAGAGCCTTGCCTCAACCCACCCACCCACGCATCTCTACTAGATACCTTATCCAAGTTTTTTTTTGATCACCGGGGCACTCCCAGTAAACCTCACACAAGTCCACCCTACTTAGCTAGAGGTACCTACCCTCTACCACCACCATAAAACCCCATCCCACTCACCCTCCTCCCAAAACTCCCCGTGTACGTCTTTCCCGACTCCCTCTCCCCAGCAGCAGCAGCCGCCGCCCTCCCCGCCTTAACCGCCTCCCTGCCCGCAACTTCCACCACGTTTGCCACATTCTTGATCGCCCCGCCCAGTCCCGCCGCCGTCCTTTTCAGTCCGTTGATAGATAATTTGGAGTTGAGCGAGGGGTGCGGAGGGGAGGGGAAGTGGTAGAGGGCTCCGCCCGGTTTGTTGGCTGCCGAATTGGATGAGGATGAAGAAGAAGAGAAAGATGGGGTGGAAGTGGGGGAGGAATGTTGGGAGGAGTAAGTGGGTTGTGAGGGGGCGGTGGTGTAGGTTATTGTTGGTTGAGGTTGTTGTTGTTGATGCGCTGGGGTGGAGGGATAGGTTGGTTGGGCTGGGAGGTTTACAGCTGGAGGCGACGAAGGGAACGGTGATGAAGGGGAAGTAATTGTTGGTGAGGGCAGGGTCGTGGCCGGTTGATGTTGGGTTGGTGGTGAAGGCCGGGGTGGGTAGGCGGCTGGAAAGTACGAGAATGAGTGTCTGTGGTTCCCGGCTGTAGATGATTGCGGAGAGGCGGGTGAGAAGGGTCCTTGTTGGGTTGGAGGAGTGAGTGGTAAGTGGCTGGTGTTGAGGGTTGGTGTCGGTGGACACTGGTAGCCGGAGAAATACAGAGATGTTGGCCGTGTTGACTGAGGAGGGGGACGTGGTGGTGAATGGGGAGGGCTGCCGTAGGTTTGTTGCTGATATGGAGGCGGCGGAGGTGCTTGCCCAACCGATGTTGGGGCTTGGCTGAATCCAGGCGAAGGCGCAGAACTGTAGTTGCCAGGTTGGCGGTATGGGGGAGTGAACGGAGCCGGAATTTCTCCTGACGGCAGCAGCGGTGGTGACTGGGGAGGTGAAAGGCTCTGGTACCCTGGCTGAGCCGGAGCAGACGTGTAGGTCGGCTGTGGCACTGGTGGAGGGATAGGCGCTTGTTGCTGGGAAGCTGATGGATATTGCATAGGCGGCGGACTCGGCGTGCTCTGTGTTGCCTCGTCATGAAGCGAGGGTGGTGAAATCGGTTTCTGATATTGAGGCTGGGTATGATATCCAGTGTCTGACTGTTCTTCAAGCGAGGCGGGCCAAGAGCCGGGGACAGAAGGTAGGGCTTCGGCTTCTACGACGATCAGCCCTTCACTGTCAGGAGTTTCCAATTTCTTGGCCGGTTTCGGGGGAGGGACATCTGAAGAGGGCTCCACAGCATTACTCTCCCGCACAGGAGGAGGTAATGACCCTTCAAGCTCAGCAACAAAGCTATTGGAGGTCCGTCGTCCGGCCGTGGATGTAACCGAGTTACGATGTTGCGAAGAAGGTGGAGAATAAGGTTTGTAGTTTTGTTCTGCCTGTGGTGACTGCGGTGTCTGGCACTGGGTCGGTATTTGGCTCGATACGGGCCTATGTTGAACTCTCAAGGGTGCCGGAACCAGGGAGCTATCGCCAAGGTCAAACTTTGCGAGCGAGGAAGCCAGAGATGACTGGCTTGCAATAGACGAACGTCGGCTATTAGTCTCATGACTACCACTTGGCCCTAGCTGCTGTGTAGGTGGCCGGTACGGTTGATATGGACGGTAGGCTTTCGGCTCTGATAGTCGACGTTGTTGCTCCGGTTGTTGTTCTTGTGGTTGAGACTGCTGCCGATAAGCAGAGCCGTATGGGGTGATGCCGCTGTATGACATGATGACTAACTGATGAGACTCGGACTTCCAATCTTCACAATCCGGATTTTATGGGAACAGGTACAAAAGGACAAGAGTTTCCGACCTTTGGGGAGAAGAGAGAAGAGAGGACAGTCAGGCTGGGGCTGGAGAACACATGATGAAAAAGCCCAACACATTCACAACCCGGTCTGATGTGGCTGAAGCACAGTGACTGAAAGCAGCCAGGCACAACACGAGCTAGTCCACAAGACAGCAGCTCTTGACGAATGGGATAACCCTGCTTCTACATCGGATATCGAGGGTTTACCGTCTTGGCATTCCTTCAGCTAGACCACAGGCAAACTGGTGCCTTGCTCAGCCGCCGCAGGCGAAGCTTTTGGTGACAAACCCAATCGGGGAAACGAAAGGATCGAAGGCTGATAAGCCCCGCAACCTTGCTGACCCAGTCGTTGAAAAAGTGGGAATTCCAGCCAACAGTTCGTTCACATCTTGATTTGTCGTTGGTTTCCATTTGGATGGTTCTCATGTCGTTGTTCAGAGGTAAAATGAAACAGTCTCGTGGCACATGTTGACGAGTTTGAAACATGCCCCCACAGTTCGTCCTGTCTTGTTCCCCGCACTTGAACGCATGGAGATCATCAGCTTCATCCGAACAAGCAAGCCATGGCTGAACCGACATAGGCTCCCGTTATAGGATGAAGAATCAATAGTTTTATATCATGGTCTCCAATCCCGATGATTCTGTCTTTCCTTCGACCCAAGACAAATCGCCAGACGTCAACCATGTCTTCAGCCGAACCCATTAGCGTGTTGGTCTTCTCTCGCACCGTAGCCTATCGCCACGACTCTATCCCGGCTTCCATAAAGGCTCTTGAAGACCTTGCGGCAACTTCCCTGACCACTTCCCAGCCGTTTGGTACGACAGCAACCGAGGACCCTACGATATTCACACCCTCCGGGCTCTCGCAGTTTCGTGTCATTATCCTTCTGCAATGCTCTGGCAAGTTCCTCGATTCTTCCCAGCTCGAGGCACTCAAGGGTTTCGTCCACTCCGGCGGTGGCGTGATAGGTCTCCACTGCGCCAGCTTTGCTATGGAGTCGAGTGAGTGGTATGGCCGTTTGATCGGTGGTGTCTTCAAGGACCACCCAGAGCCCCAGATGGCCAAGATCCGGCCTGTTGTCAACAACATGGACCATCCTCTCCTGACTGTTATCAAAAGACCCCAATACGAGAGCGAGGGAAAGAAGACAATGTTCGGTGTGACGACGGACAAGGAGTGGGAGTGGGACTGGTTCGATGAATACTACAACTTCAAGACGAACCCGTGGGATAACCCGCATCTCCAGATTCTCCTCGCGGTTAACGAAGAGACTTATACCGGAGGAACACACGGCGAGCGTCACCCTCTTGCATGGGCCCAGGAGTTCGAGGGCGGCCGGTCATTCTACACCTCTCTTGGCCACTTTAGTGATGCATATCTGGAGGATCCCGGGTTCATGGCATTTATCTACAAGGCCATTTTATGGACCGCAAGATTGGACAACTGAAGTGAGCAAGGTATATGGTCCCCGTAGGTTAGGTTGTCAGAGCCAATATCGGACGAAGCCGAAGGTGTTGTTTGCTGCACTTCCCCTCTGTACCCCACTATACTTTTAGCGGCTTCCAGGCATCTCAAGCCAACCACATCATCGATCTTCCACACTCTCGACCTCATACCACTTGTGAATCATCTTTGCCCCCGTTACTCCCCGTCAAGACTAGGCACATCCGTTACCCCTTTGATGACTATAAAGACTCAAGTATAAGCTCTTCATTTACCTACCTTATCTATACTCATTCGTTCGCCAGTGAACATTACTTCATCAAAGCTCTACCCAGTTGCAATATCACCATGCGTGGAATACTCCAAGCTGCCAGAACCGCGAATATCTCGCGGGCTCCCAAGTACAACCTCCTCGTTTGCTTTGATGCATTCGAGACCCTCTATGCCCCCAAAGAACCGGTTCACAAGACGTACGGTCAGTTTGCGCGCGATAACGGTCTCCATCACGCTAGTGACGATGTTGTGGCTGTTTATCTTCACGACCGCATCACCACGGCCGCCAAAGAATACCCCAACTACGGCAAGCATGTTAAGGGCATGGACCCCGAAGCTTGGTGGATGAAGGTGATTCAAGTTGCTCTTACTAGTCACTCGACTGTTTCCTGAACTGAAGCTGAAATATCACTGCAGGTTATTAAGAATATCTTTGTCGACGTTGAGCCCAGTCTAAGTAACGCAGCTCACAAAAAGCAGCTGGATGATTTGGGCCATAAACTCTTTCAGCATTTTTCTACCCACGACGCCTACAAGACTGCGCCCAATATGCCCAAACTTCTCCAATCTTTGAAGCATCACAGATCCAACGGCAAGTTGGACAACCCCTCCATCGACCATGTTGTTCTGGGCGTCATCAGCAACTCAGATGACCGCGTTGGGGGGATTCTTTCCTCTCTGGGCCTCGACGTCAGCCCCCTACGTTTCCAGAGAGAGTCCAAGCAGGACACCCATTTCGAAAGCGCTCGTCCTGTCGACGGCAAGTCGTACGACATCGACTTTACCGTCATGTCATACGACGTTGAAGAGTCAAAGCCACACAAGGTCATGTGGCAGGCAGGAGAGATGCTGGCTCGCAGAGCGGTTACCCATGAGCTCGGCAAGTTTGATGAGAGCATTCCTTGGTTGAAGCTCTATGTTGGTGATGATATCAAGAAGGACGTTGCATCCGCCTGGGGTTGTGGATGGAATGCGGTCCTTTTGAAGGAATTCATCACCGAGTATCCTCCTGATGAGCGTTTGGAGAGTCTGGAGGAACTACTGACGATGCCAGTTACCCAGCTCTTGACCGGGCAACCTCGAATGTTTACGGTCAACAAGCTCGAGACTTTGGTCGAGTGGATCGTGAAGAGAGGCTTGGAGGTTCCCGCTGGTTCTACGGGGGCCGACAGCTCTGAGGAGAGATTCAAACTTGTTGAGGAGATCGAGTGAAGTGACGCTGAAGAAGGCCTATACCCATAGCATTGCATTTTGTAGTATTAGTTAGCCGGCATTTTTCAGGATGTATTACCAGGGATGTTTCAATTAATTATTAGACACTCCTTTTGTACTATTAATGAAACATACTTGCCTGTCGAAAAGGCCTTCGGTTCTATCTGAAAGGCGCGAATAGGATTTTGTTATGCCCAAGGTAAACTCAGAACGTCTAGAGAAAACTTCACATGAGATACTTTAGCCCAGAAAAGGCTTTTAATCGATGTTAGAAGACATTTTAGACACGACTCAACACTCAGGAAATGATACCAGAGGGGTGATGTCTTCGACATAACCCCATTTACCTCCCGGCCACTCGCTATCCTCACAACTCCAAATTCTTTCAACGCCCCTTGGCACAACGCCCTCCACCTTCTCTCTTGACTTTTGACCACACGCTCTCCTGCAGCATCTTCCCTCCCCGCCTCTGATCAACTCTCTCGGCTCATCCACCATATGATTCAACAAGTCACTCCCATGTGTTTCCTCCCCTACCCGACTAGCCGCATGCACAAGCGTTCTACCTCCCACCTCCGTCGACCTAGCCACCAACCTCATCATCAACTTCCCTATCGCCACCGCGAAGGTCCCTGAACTTGAAAATCCCTAACTTGACGAGACCGGGTTAGACGCCCCCATTTTCTCAACGGGGTAGTGAGCTGCCACAGCGCGGGCAACGAAAAACTGAAGCAGTTTGAAAATGAAGGCTTGATCCGAGCGATCAAGCCATTCAGCGTTACGCGTGTAAGTCCGTTGTCTTGTGCTCCGGCAGGCTAATGAGATCTTTGAGTGTGGATGATGTAGGCGATTGCAAGATGTCTTTATGTTGGAGACCATTCGCAAATTGTAGAGCTGTGAGCTCTACTAGCTCCCACAATTCCAGCGTTGTTGGCAACAGTTTTTTTTTCTCAACTGTGGTTTGGCTAGCAAAGGCAATGTGGTATGCGTTGAAAGTGTCATTCAATTTAAATCTTGCGCTTCAAAAACTCCAGCGTTTTTAAAGAAAGTCTCATCCTCATCCTCTTCCTCTTCATCTACACTGTCCTCGTACTCGTCGTCGAAAAAGTGATCTTCCTCTTCCTCTGGCCTGCCGGCAGGGTTGAGCACGTTACCTAGGTATAGAGCTGCCACTCGGGCGCGGAGCGAGAGAGGTGGAAGTCGATGTAGGTGTGTGTGAGCAAAGGATGTGAGAAGACCGTCGTTGTTGGTCTGGACTGACAGGGTCGGGGAACAGACGGGCAGTTTCACGGAGTCTGGGAAAAACAGGAAGAAGGCAACAAGGGAGGCGGTGACCATATTGACGGTTGAGCTCCCCTCGTCCTGCTTGAATCTGCGTCATGGTCCGGTTAGGAGGGATACGCCCGCATTAAGAAGAAGAATGTCAAGGGAACTCTTTCGAGCTTGGCGCTCACGCGAGAGGTGAAGAACAGGACACTGGTCCTGATCGTAGCTGCATTGGTCGAGCTCGTGTCCCAGATGAAGATGACGCTGTTGGAGCACTTGGTGGAAGGACAGATAGCATTTGGGCCTGTGCGCTGTGCTGCCTACCTGCCTATCTGCCTGCCCGCCTGCCCGCAATCCAAGGTAGGTAGGTTCAGATGCCTACAAAATCAGATTGTCCCGACCGCAGTTTCCCACTCTTTCTTCTTCTCCTTCTTTCTTCTTCAAACACTTTTAACGTAACGCACCTTAATCACATCAGCCGACTGGATGAGTTCCTCTCCCACTCGCTGTCGGTCAATGAGAGTGCAAGAGTAACTTGAGAGTCTCCTTCCCGCTATCAACAACGGCATCAGCGCGTTCATTTTCCCCAATGGCTCTGAGACCGGTCGGCGGCGGGTTCCCTACATGTCCACCTTCAATTCCAGTAAGATGTAGCATGTGAACGACACTGAGGCTGAGGCCGATGTTGGAGACGGTTACGATGATGGTTTTGCCGGTGAAGGAGTTGATTTGGATAAGGGAGGGTGGTGAGTAAAGGGCTTTCTGAAAAACTAAAGGTTGCCCTGAGGGTGGAAGAGGCCGTCTCGGCCGTATGTATACCTAGGTGGTGGGTTGAGGAGGGAGAGTGTGAGTGTTGATTCCAGGGCCTATCATAAACTATTGATGAGGAGGATAGTACTTGAAGAAATTCCAGAGTAGGAATTGAAATGAATAGGATGCCGTTGCGCCTGTTAACTGCGAGTGACCACCTTGAGGACGTAACGCAATCTGGACATTCTCCATTCTCTATTGTTGAAGCGTGCTTCAACTGTTCAGAGGTGGATGGCATTCACTGCCTCAGAGGGGCTCATGGTTCATTTATGACCCGCATCCACCGAACGGACTGTTGAGGGACGGTTCGTCTATAGCCAGTTTTCTTTGTTGAAGTTTCTCGCGTTCTTATTAGTTAGATGCGTAGTACGGCCCTACAATTAGTTAGGGTATCTTGCTAAGCCTGTTTTTGATTAGTTAATTCGCTTATAATATTTTTGATATAGGCTACTAATATATATTAGGTCTCCCCTTTTCTATTACTTTCTAATATATGTATTTAGTAAACAGCTAGTAGATTAGTTTAGTACTTATATTAACTAACTATTTACACTGTAATGCTCCCTCCCGCTATTCAATTTCAATTTTATTGCTAATACTTAATATTAGTATTAATATTATTATTGCGATTTGATTTTAATACTTAATTTACCATTAGAAAAGTTATTATAACAGTTATAAATACGTATTATTAGAAAGTAATAGTCTCTTTATCCGGTAAGTAACCAGTAAGCGATAAGCGACCGGCAACCGACCAGTAAACTAGTCTATATAGGGTATAAGAATTTCGCTTTTCCCTCCATTTTGAGTTTTAAATTTTCCCTTTTACTTATTACTAACCTAAAGTTCTATTCCTAAAAGAGAGTATTAAATCAACTATCCTATTAATTATTAACCTACAATAAGGAAGTTGGATTATTAGATAAATTAGTCTATTTATTACTAATATAAAATTCTACTTTTGAAAGCAAATTGATAAAATTATTTTTTAATACACGTAAGGATTGTTAGATAGACTATTCTATAAATTATTAACCTAAAATTCTATTTTGTAAAGAAAGTTAATAAAAACCTAGAATTGGGTATTGCTCTAAATTTGATAGTGGATGTAGATCCTGACTTTTTAGATCCTATTTTTTAAGTAAAATTAATTCTCCCCTTCTTATTTATTTATCTGTTATTGCTAATCTATTATTAATAGATATAAGGAGTATTAGATAGACTATTTTACTTATTATTAACCTAAAATTTTATTCTTAAAAGAAAGTTAATAAAAACCTATAATTGGGTATTACTTTAAATTCGATAGTGGATGTGGATCCTACTTTTTTAATCCTACCTTTTTAGATCCTATTTCTTGAATTAGTTCTCCCCTTCTTACCTATTTACTTATTATTACTAATTTATTATTATAGGTACGGGGGATTTCCTTTTTTCTAGGGTTTTCTTTTTTTTGGGGGTTTCCTTTTCTCTAGAGGTTTCTTTTTTATTAGTTTTTGTCTATTTATTTTGAGGGCTTATATATTTTTCCTTTTATTATTGATATAAATATACATATTAAATATGATAAAATATATTATTAATATAAACCCAATGCCGAATTTATTAATAAGCGAGATTCTATTAAGTTCGTACAAAACTGTAGAGAATATTACAATAATTAAATTGAGGTAAAATACTATTAGGTCCTTATTTATTATCCTTAAACCCTAGTATTCCCTTTGGTTAACTAACCGGTATTGCTTACTTAATAGTAAATCCTTTAAAATATATAAATCCTACTATAAACCTAGTATACCGTATTAATCTACTACCTGTGAGTAAATAGTACTTTTGAAAGTAAAGATCCGAACCGTAGGGGGTTGCGGGTGCGATTCGGGTAATATTAGTTGGCTGGCCTATTAAATAATTAATATTCAATCTTTAATAGGTTATTAGCTATAAGAAGAGAGATACTACCGAATTATCCCCTCCTCCTAACTAATTATAACCAATATAATAACTAGTATAGTAATTAGTATAGTAACTATTAGTTTTTCCTTTACTAAGACTATTACTGCTTCGATTTTAATATAAATATTGCAAGGAAGAATTTAATAAGTTACTAGAGTAAGAATTATAACTATTTCTATTTATAATACTACCGATAGTACTACTACCGATAGTACTGCTAATAGTACCTCCTATATTAATACTACGCTAAAGACCCTTGGTACTAGCCCCGGTACTAGTTTAGTTAGTATAATAATTTCGAAGAATTATTAATATTGATAGGTGGTTTTAAAATTGAAATCGTATTATATGCTAAATTACTCCTTTCTTTCTTATAGGTAAGAATTCGTAAATATATTTAAAATGATAGATAAATTAAACTATGGATATAGTTAATTATATTTGATATAGGATTCTCCTAATACTACTATAGCCCGCCGCTAGATTAATGAGATTCGGTATAATTATTATTATCATTATTATAATAATTAATAAATATTAGTTACCCCTTCTTTCGAGAGTTAGAAAAGATATAACGGTAGTATTTATTATAGGGATAAGAATTAGAATGATAATTAAGAAGGCGATATATATAATAGTTAGAATAATAATATAAATGCGGATAATATGGAAGATTATAATTCTAATATTGGTTAAAATCCTAACCTAGATTTAGATTTAAATTTAGATTTAGAGGACGATTATTTCTTTTGCCCAGTATATAATATTGCCCGGGCTATAGTAGATAGGTATATTAAGTTTGGTTTTTATAAATATTACCAGTTGGGTATACTATATAGTAATGCCGACTTCGAGAATAAGTTCTGTATACGTTATTGAAGGGTATTTACGCGGGGGTTATTTTTTGATATCAATAATAATAAAGAGAAGGAATATTGTAATTTGTATTATTTAAATCCCTTTCTACTTATTCAGAATTGTAGACCGCTACTACACTATCCTCTAATATAATATTGGGTATATTGTAGTTTTATTTAATAAAATGTTCAATCTGACTTTGAATACTTTCGCCCCGTCTCTTTACTTCCTAACCTTCGGTTCTACTCTTATTTTTAATAATATAAAGACCCTCCCCTCTATTTATATAATCCTCCCTATAATATCCCTTTTTAATTCTCTCCTACCTTCTTTCCTCTTTATAATAATATTGTTTAAGATAGTTTCCTCTAATCGCAACCGTCCTAGCCCGATTAACCTCACCTCCAACCCTAAAGTTTCCTCCCTAGAGGTATTTCTAGGCTCTCTTAATTTTACAGCCCCAACTTACTTAGAATTTGCAATATTTTCTTATATTTTTCGTAGTAATCCGGATCTCTAAATCCCTCAAAACTGGTATACTTATCCTTTTTATTATTCTTAATTCTTATATTAACTTATATAATACTATCTATAAAATCTCTTACTTTTATTATACTTTAAATCTTACTACAATCCTAAAATCTAATAAGAGACTTACCAATCCTAATATCTTTCGTAAAATTATTACTAATAAAACCTACCTCGTTTCGGCTTTCTATAAGCTTTATATCCTTTTCTTTCTCGCCCTTCTTTTCTAATTAACGTTTTATTCCTAATTACTGACCTCTAAACTACGACCTATATTCATATTACCGGTAAATATATATTAGGTATTCGTATTAACTTCTTTAATACCTATCATGCTATTTAATCCGTAACTATTATTATATTATTAAATAGCCCAACTAAATATCATTAAGGATTAAATACCTTTGTTTACATTATTCAATAATTTATTAAGCATATATATATTTATTTAGTATAAGACGGTCTCCCGAATAATATTACTAACCTTCTCTATACTCTATACTATAATACTATTATCTTTTAATAGAAGGGATACTATACGCTATATATAAAGGATATTCTCTATAGTTGTACTCATTCCGGCCTTAATATTAATAATATAATAAATTTAATTTATACTATTTTTAATTCCAATAGTAATATAGTTATTCCTACGTATATTATATTTAATTTCAATAGTAATAGTATACCTATTCCTATTTATATAGTCTCTGGTTCTAATAATAATAATACTACCCTTAGTAGCCCTATAGTCATCAATACCCCCAGCCGTCCTATTACAAACAATAATTAAATTCCATGGTATTATAATATTATCAAAAATTAAATTCGTATAATAGAACTTTTCGAAGAGTCTTTCAAGTATAATTAAGCGTTAAATAAATAGAACTTCAATTCTTACTATAATGATAATATACATAATA